ATTGGCTGAAAGCCATATTAATGCAAACATAACACATGATATTGGCTCAAAAAGAAAAGCATACGTTTTGACATAATTTTCTTAAGGATATTGTTAAGAAAACTCAGTACAGAAATTGGACGGTAGCAAGAAGGATCGGACCTATGTTCATTTTTGTAGACATGGGTGACTTTAGTTATCTTTAATATTAATGGGTATTGACCGGCATGTAATGAGTGGTTAAATCACTTACATAATACTTCTCCAGTTAAATTAATGTTCTCTTTTATAATGTGTGCTGACCCAGAACCTCACTAATTACTAGTTTACTCGTAAAAAGCAGAACTTGATCCACCTCTATGGTGTTTATAACAAAGTTGTTCGATAAGGAAATCGGTTCAGACAGTGCATTGTTAGGAATAAACAGCATTTTGGCTAATGAAGGACCAACACTTGTAAAATAAGTTTCAAAGTCCCTAACAGTATTCTCAGAGACATTGGTAGATAGCATTATTCCAGCAAAAGTATGCCCGATTGCTTCATTTATTATTTGCCAAGCCTTCCAAGAGTTATTGAAAGCTTGCTCAATAAACTTTGAATAATAGTCTTTTTTACATTTAAGCAACATGGCTACCGATTTGTTATGAGCAGCTTTGTACTTATGTAGTAAATGCACATTGTGCTTATCATATTTTCATTTATGATGCCAGTACTCTTTAGTCTTAAGCAGGCATAATAAATCTTGGCTCATTCAAAAAAAGATTGGTGAATCATGTGAGCATCTACAAATGTCTTTTTTTTTTTCAGTTTATATATGCATCCTGTAATAACATTAATTATACTAGTAAAATCCTGGTCTATGTCATCATGATAAACCTTGTGCCATCAAAAAGCCTAACAATTTACGGACCTTTAAATGATCAATTTTATAAAAAGTAATGTTTCTATGATGATCTATTATAGGCCATCTATCCACACTGTGATTAGTGACAAGCTTATGAAGAACACTTGCCGTTGTGTTATTAGGAATATTTGTGAAGACATGGTCCAACATGTTGTACTTGTCACTTGAGTAGGCGCACAGATTAGATTGCAGAAATTACATCATTGTATTAGATCAGCATGAACTTGCAATTGGCACTAACGACAACAATGTTTATGACCCCAAAAATAATAACCCAAGTACAACCATTCTTAGCCAGGGCAGATAGAGGGCCCTCAAGTTCATGTTTGGCGGCCCACACTAACGACAACAGAAAATACTACCTATACAAAAATTGCTGCTATATATGTGAGGCTGCATGTCAATTCAGATACATAGTAAAGATAAGTGGAGTCCGTTATTTAAGAAAAAAGCAACGCCTCCACCGCAAGAGTTAGATGCCCATGGCCATCGTTTTACAGCCAGGTATGGTAACTGTTTCATCCTTTCTCAGTCATGTTTCTGTAGCTGCTATTATATCATAATGTTTGCCACGTCATGAGATAGGCTTTAGAAAAAGATTTTTTTCTTATGCTAGGTGTGTTGCCGTAGAAAAGTGTTATATATTCTTTCAGATTGGAATTGTGAGACTCAGCCATGAAAAAAAGTTAATTAACTTTATTCAGGTCGTCAATACATGATACCAGCTGTACTCTGGAGTTGTCAATTTTATGCTTATGCTTGATTTCCTATGCAAGGATGCACGAAAGACCTTAATTCCTAAAAGTTCAATCACAGCAATTTTCATTCTAGGTGAGGAAATTTCGTTATTGTTAATTAGTACTCAGGAGTTCTCACTTTTACGCTTACGCTTGATTTCCTATGCAAAGATGCACAAAAAACCTAAATTTTTAAAAGTTCAATCAAATTGATTTTCATTGTAGGTGAGAAAAAAATTTTTTAATTAATTTATTGTGCTAAGTGGCTGCCCCGTACTTAGGCACTGTGCTGCAAGTCCACTTCACTGGGTCGCATGCCTTTCCAAAGCAGTGAAGAGATATGACAGCCCATTGGACGTACCAGGCAATTTCCACTCCTCCCTGCTTCTTCTTCGACACTACCTAAAGAGGGAAGGAGATTGGGAATAAGCCCCCCTCGACGACTCGAGTGCTCCTTGTTGGTAGTGTCGAGGAAGAGCTGCTGTCCTGTGAAGACACCTTATTGCAGCACTAAGGCATCGGTGTGAAACCCAAACCTCCACTCTCCTTTCACATCCAAACATCCTCTTTTCAACTCTCGGTTAGAGAAAGAGTCCCCACACAAGCCAATCACACGTGGGCGCTTACATCAGCACAACCAGCCGCAGGAATACTTTCATGACAGACACAGTGTTGGCAGTAAGTATATCACAATATACAACACATGAAAGGATAGGTTATCTGCGTCATAGAGTTTCCTAAAATTAACTAGAAGGGACTCTGGCGCTGCGATTGTTCATTGACCATGGGAATGATGGGTAGTACACAGATTTGCCAAGTGTTCGTACTTGCGGGTGGGGAATCGCACTTGTGGCTTCGTTTATTGCTGTGATTCGGTTTTGTTTCGAAAGAAAGAACGAACCCTTTTTGAACTTCGCGACACCGATTTGAAAAGGTAAGCCTAAAAAAATAAGGTGGTAAAGCACAACCACTGAACATTTTCTTATTTTTGTTTTGCGAGAAAGCAACTCCAAGCTACACGAACACGCACGGAACCAGAAGCAGGCCAGAAGTACGAAGATTAGACAAATATGTGTACCAACCATCATTCCCATGCTTGCTGAAGCGCCGTGCTTTGCAGCTCCCATAAACACTAGCGCCAGAGTTCCCTCTAGTGTATATTAGGAAACTATGATCTGCGCAACGCAAGTCGTCACACTCTCTCCTACGTTATGACCCGAGTATCAGCCCTGACGTCCACCGGAAGCTGTTCCCAGGCTCGAACTTGATCAGTTTGTGCACTAGATGTTTCTTTCAAGAGGTCAGTCTAATAGTGGCAAGAATACTGTCCACTGACAATATGGAAATGCAACAGTGAGACGCTCCGCCACTCCAAGGACACTTAGTAATGACGTGTAACTGGGGGCAAGATCCCTGCATGCTTTGAAGGCCGTATTGTCACCAGAGAGTTAATTCACACCCCATTGATCAGTCTCAGTTGGCCAAGCAGTCCAAAAGCTACTTTTACGTACTTACGGCATTCTCAAAGGGTACACGTGAATGCCAAACAGTCGACTTGAAACCAGACGAATGCGCGTCACCTCATTCATGTGCTATACACTCTTTCCTGTCAGCTTTTTCCTCTTTTGCCCTAAACAAAAGGCGTCTTTGATGGCTCCGCTTGTAAACGGCATGAACAATCGGGCCACCATTTTCCCCCCCATGGGGCTTCCGCATCCCCTTTAGCGGAAGCGACCCACATCGTTAGTTGGCAGTGATTGGTCGGAATGGCGGCACTGGAACTCGCTCTGCGCTTTGCAGCACTCGCATACACTGCGCCACGCTACAACATACCGAGCTGCATATGTCATACGAACTCAGGCTATGAGCTATTGAGATGTCAGCCTTTGACAAATTTTAAAGAGAAAATAGCAGTTAATAATATATGATTACCATGCCTAGCCCATTATAAAGCACTTTTATTTTTATTTCGGTGCAAGAAATTCCTTTATATGAAACAGCGGCACTGATCATGACAAAGAAAGCGTAGCACAAGTGCTTATGTGTTCACCTGTGTTTTCATCTTATTTGGTGGTACTGTTCCCAGGAAACAGACTAGTGTCTTGCAGACTAGTGACTTGCATAATTGAGAGTCATATGAGAAATATTCCCGCATTTCCCTACACCTTTAGGAGAAATTTTCATGATGGAGCTATGAAATAAAGAAACCTGTAGCTGTCAAATAGAATCACCGTACACAAGATGCGGTAAAATTATAGATCCCTGAAAAGGGTCCACTCATAGGCTGGTTGCAGCATGATGCACAAAAACTTCTTTCACTCGCTCCAGCACTGTGATGCCACCAACTCATTGCACGATTCCTATATGCACAAAGCAAACCAAATGCCAATTTGTATGAGCATCCTTTGTTCCTATATCCTGTGACACATGCAGCAAATGTCAGTGACAATGCAATGGGTATTAAGAGGAGCTTAATATGACCATTAATAATCTTTACATGGTTTGTTAACGGCAATAACTGCAATGCTTATAGGATTTAGCCTATGGCCATATCCATTTTGCATTCCATTGGTTGTTCAAAAGGGTAGTAGGAGTTCTAAACGAATCCGATTTTTTTTTTTTTTTTTCAATTTTGCATGCATAACACACACACATACATGCATGAATGTTACGGTAGCTTTTGGAGCCAAATAAACACAATAGATAAACAAGTGCAAAACATTGAAAGGAGTACAAAGAACTAGTGATGCATTTCAGCAGAGTGACTTGTTGGGCGAGTAGGTTGATTCTTACGGTAGCTTTTGGCGTAGCTTTTGACGCCAAAAGCTACCGTAAGAATAAACCAACTCGCCCAACAAGTCACTCCGCTGTATGAATGTGTATAGCATATGGTTCAAGCCCTCGAAAAAATTTCCGGCTACAGTCCTGGACAAAAGTGTACTGCAGTATAGTTTCTGAGAGCTGTCATCAATGTGACTTAGTAAAACTACTTTTCCTAAATAGTTTAATGAGTCATCATTGTTTTAATTTCCTCTGACTATGTGCATTACCTTGAGGTAGTCAAATACATGTGACAACTCATAACAAGATTCACACAACACCTGCTGCAATTGTTCAAGTCAATGCTGAAAGTTTTAAATACTGTGGTTCACTGGAGCAGCAGGTGCTGTAGTTTACCAAAGCAGAAACCAACTAAGAACAAGCTGAAATCTGGAAATTCCTCCCAGCTGGAAGTTTTTCAATTTCAAGTGGGAAAAATTTGTAGCAACTTAAAAACTGCTACTTCTGGCCTGGCAAAGCAGAATATTTGTTCAAAAAGATCGCAGTATTCAAATTTTGCTTTGCCTTGCCAGTCCTTGCATGAATGAAATGAGGCTTACCTGTACTGCATTGTTGGAGATGTTGACGGCTTGCAGGGTGAGCACAGAGAAGACGCACGTTTTGCCAGTGCCAGACTTTGCCTGCACGACCATATCTGCAGAGAAAGGGCAGATTCTAACGAGACTGTGACAAATGCCAACAAAACTGCAATATGGTTGAACTGCAAACGAAATGAAATAGCGCTGACCGAGAATGAAATAGGCTTATAACATTAAAAATGACGACTATGTCATTTTTTAAGGTTTTAAACGTACTCATTCTGCTCGGCGTTATTTCATTTCATTAGTATTTCCTTCTTTTTCCCCACCAGATGACGCTTTGTCAAGTTCCCACTTTGTTGTAACAGATTTTGCCAACTGTAGCCAGTGTGACTGTTGTCACACTGGCTACAATGGTTGTATTACTTGTGACCATTTTAGCAAAGCATAATGCTGTCAGTAATGTAACCTTTTTAAGGGATATTTATTTTTAAAAAAAGGACACCATTGTATGTGTTAATGATGTATCAAAACTAACCAAAGAATTGCAAGGCTATCAGCCAAGAAAAACTGCTGACAGCACATAGGATTTCCTGTTCAGAAGTGCTAACTCAATTGAATCCCAGAATTCATAAAACCAGAAGACATGAGAACCAAGCACATGCATTAATCATTTTTTTATTATCCCTAAAATATCCAGTAAGCATATTGCACTGGTTGTGGGCCAACTGTTTTGTGCTATATACAAAAAAGTACAGCAACAACGATGCCCCACAAGCACACCATCAACTGTTCACTGTGATCAGTATATAATAATAATAGCTGGCATTTTTGTGTGGCATTGTAGTGGAGGGCTCTGGAAATCTACATCATCCGGTGTTTCTTAACATGCACTAGCATCGCACAGTACTCTAGCAAGGTGGAATACAACCACTGCAGCCAGGATCTAACCTTCAAGTCAGCTGCCAAGTACCATAACCACTAAAAATAATAATATTTGAGGTTTAACATTCTAATACCAGGATATAATTATGAGAAACACCGTAGTAGAATGCTACGGAAATTTTGACCCCCTGGGATTCTTCACCAGGCACCCAAATCTAAGCACACGGGCCTCAAACGTTTTCACCTGCAAAGAAAATGCAGCCGGCAGGATTTGATCCCGTGACCTTCCGATTAGCAGTCGAGCACCATAACTAATTACTAGACTACTGCGGCGGGGCCACCTTAACCACTGCTCCTCTGCAACCAAAATGCGATACAGATGATGGGCAAAGGGGTCTTTTACTACAGTAAAGCAAGGGTTAGGATATTTGATATTAAAATGGTCAGCGTAAAAATTAGACATGGCACACACAAAAAAGACGCAGACTGTCTCTGGCTACAATATGCTTGTTTGTTAATGTACTAACTGCGAGTTTTCCCAACCTCTGAAGATAAGGTTGTTTTCCGAAAAAAACTCAATGAACAAACTAAAAAAAAAGCTACCTAAAACAAGTAAATAAAATAATCACACACCAATATGAAAAACCTTCTGCTTCTAGGCTTTTCCTCTTTCCAGGTATTAGTGGCTTTTGTGAGAGGGCAATTCATACCAATTTGTCCAACAAGCAGACATCTTGAAATATGGAGATTATTGAGAAAACACAAGGCAGCATTAAAAGAAAGAGAAAGAAATACACAATACTAAAATATAATATTGAAATTTGAGGCAGTTTCACACTAGTGACAAGAAACCTGGTGCAAGTGCACAGCAGGGTTTTGTTTCTCTTCACTTTGCTTTGTCTGCCTTCTTGTTGAAATTTATTGTTCTTTCTACCTCTTGTTTCTAGGCAACACACTTCCTTTTGCAACCTTCTAGCTATGCTTTACTATGCTAGAATGCCTGGATAATTGAGTGGGTAGGAAGCTAGCCCTAATATTCCAGGTTCCGATCCCGCCTCCCTCTCTGAACTTGTTCTCTCGGCCATTACAGTCATTGTATCCCAAGCCAGAGAAATCCGCTTACATGTTTTAAAAGCGAAGATGAAGCGATGACAAAGAGAACATGCGCCGGCTCTTGTCAGACCTAAGGAGTGTCTTTTAGCTTAAACCAAACCATGGTTCAACTCTGGTCATTCTGTTTGTATGACCAGCAATTTGCACACAGTGAGAAAAGTAAAAATGAGACGTAACATTTAGCCCTCAGCTCACAACAGCATGTGCAAACAATTAAACAAAAGCAAATATCATCATCATTCTCACTGCAGAATGAAGGCCACTCCCAATCCATGTCCAGTTTACCCTATCCCGTGCAAGCTGATTCCATTTTATCCCTGAAAGCTTCCCAACTTTCGTGCTCTAGCTAACTCTTAACCTTCCCCGACTGCATTTTCCATTTTCAAATACTGCAGCATAATGTGGGCTATTGCAGGAGTGGGGCTTTTCAACATAAGCACTCAAGGCAATGCAAGAGAAAGAAAAAGCAAAAGAGAAAAAAAAACAGGAATAACACATTCAATAAATCATCTAAAGGCAATGATCTGGTTTACCCAGGGAAAGTATTCCATTGTTCTAAAGTTTGCAGAAAGAAGCTGAATTCAAATAAATTAATATGTGGATGGAATGCTGCCAGATTGAGATTGTGGCTATTTCTCGTAGGTTTCATTCGGTAAGAAATATTCATTAGTTAATGTGCAACGTGGGGTATTAACAAGAATACGCAGCAACTTTAGGCATTCGAGATTGCGTCGCTTCGACATAGTTAGTAGACATAACGTAGCAAGCTGAGAGGAGGATGAGAAATTCCAGTCGTAATGTCAGAAAATGAAACGGATGGCTTTCTTTTGAACTGGTTCTAGTGTATTTATGCTAGATACTTTATGAGGGTTCCATACAGGGCAGGCATATTCGAGGATGGGATGGATTAGCGCTGTATATGTAATTTTGTTTTGCGAGGAGCATCTTTTAATGCATGATTTAGATTGCCCAATTAATTTAAAGCCTTATTGCAGGTGTAGTCGATATATTTAGCCAAGACATGTTGGCTATGAAGATCAGGCCTAGGTACTCATAATTGAACACACATTTCAGAAAGGAGCCATTGAAAGAGTAATTGAACAGAGAAACAGAGGCGCATTTACAGAAAGAAAGAGTGACTGCTTTAGCAAAGATCATATTCATTTGACATGTGTGGCGCCATCTGTAAAATTGTGCAAAATAATCATTAGTAAAATGTGGTCATCATTGGTATTAATTACACTATACAGTACACATCTATACTCTTCTAGTATACACACTTTTATGTATGGTTCTCAATCATACCGCCAGGCCATTCTACAATATCTTTGTTTTCGTTCATTATGAGGCCTGCGTTAAAGGGACCGACAACTCGGATGATGGAAATACTGTCTGTCACATTGACTCAAATCAACCCTGCTTATTTATTTTTTTTTTTTTGCGAGAGATGGGTTCGTATTTTCATTTCTTCATTAAATGTACTAAAAGCGAAAGTTGATCTAGCTGGTGGCTCTGTTTGGCCATCAGCACAAATACACCAGAGAAATGATGGAGGCATTTTTCATTGAAAGAGAGGGTGAAAGGTGCGTGGGTAAACCGTCCGTAGCACTTGGTGAAATGGAGGCTCAATACCTTGGTTTAGTGCTGCCATGTTAAAACGATTATTAGTTTGTTTTTTTGATCTCTTAGGTATGTTTTAGCCTGTAGATGATTTGCTCTTTTTTGTTTTTTCTCGGGTGTTTACACACCTGTCACTTTTCACCTTGATTACAGTCGCCGACCAATTTTCCGGACTCCGAAAATTCGGACTTGTTGGATATTCCGGACTTCATAAATGCACCGTCAGGGATCCCATAGAGCTAATGCATTGTTTCGACCGATTTTTCGGGCGAATTTGCCCCTGAAAGTTCGATTTCTCGGACTAAATCTCTCGTTTTGTGCCACGCCCCAAGCCATTGTGAACGCCGCCATGTTGGATTTTCTGTCGGCTTGGCCTAGCTTGGTCTTCAGATGCCTTCCTGCCTCCGAGATTGGAATGCGCACGCCATATTTTAAGTTTCGGAGGCCGTGTTTGCTTTTTCAAAGACGCGGTGATGGATGCCGTTTTTTCGTCTTCGGTCAGCACTATCGTCATCACATCGCACGGGGAGGAGGCGAAAGAAGGGTTCTTTTATTGTCGTTGCAGCTTTTTTCAGTCGCCATTCTGCACGTGTTGTGTCGCGTAGCGTCGAGACGTTGTGTGCTTCGCAGCGGCTATCTGCGGCATCGAATTTTGTGTTCTCGGTGCCATGGCTCCGCCGTCTGTGCCATCGCGGGAGCCAGGTGGTGTGAAGAAGCGTGCGCGGAGGCCACTGACGACGAAATTCTTCGCCAGGTTGTCCCGGAGCCGGACAGCGGCTCGGATGACGACAACGACGACCGCCCGCAGCCGTCGGCGGCGGAGATCGCCAACGCAGTGACAATTTTGTCGAGCGTTTACGGCGACGATGTCACCTTGGCGCAAATACGGGCAAACCAAATTGCCTCCAAGCGTAGTTTGAGGCAAGGCAGCATCAAGGACTTTTTTAAACCTGCCTGATGCAATAAACTTCAGATTTTTGGCGAAAACGAATTTTTCGGACTGTTCGATTTTTCGTACTTTTTTTCGGTCCCCGCCAGGTCCGAAAAATCGGTCGGCGACTGTATGTCTTACAAGAGCTTGCTCCTTTTGCTCGCGGCTTAGCCTATACCGGGGGGCGGCATTTACACCAGTGTTGCCAGTGTACACTTTTGCAGTTGCCCTCAAGGCCGCCTCTCCAGTGACTTCAACAATGCTCACTGATGGCACAACGCCACCCAAGGCATCAGTTTTCGATGGCCTGCACGCTCACCTCTTCGAAGAGGATTTGAAAGAAAGGGAAGTGAAGAGAAAAGTGTGTAGTAGTAACTGTCTCTCTCTCAGGAGGTCACCTCAACAACGCCACACTAGGGATGGGTAGTGGGGGAGAGAAAGGAATGTGAAAGAGAGGAAAAGAGGAGAGTATCAGTGGTGCCTGGTCTGGCCGCGGGTTGCTTCTGAGCTCGCAGGTGAGAAAAAAAAAAAACGTTAGGCAGGCCGGCAGGGCGATGATCGTTGCTT